GGGACAGGGTCACAGCTCCGGGTCCCCCCCTCCAGCCTGTGAGGCTGCTCAGCTGCTGCCCCACTGTGTGGATTCCTCAGGTCAAGCCCATTCTCTCTCATCCACGTTTCTCAGCCCCCAGTGCTCGCCTCAGCACTCACCCCTGGGGGCCCTGAAGAGCCCGCAGCACATCAGCCTGCCCCCATCGCCCAACAACCCTTACTTCCTGGCCTCCTCCTCCGGGGCGCAGAGAGAGAGCCATGGGGTCTCCTCACCTAGCAGCAGTCAAGGGTGCGCACAGGTAAGTACATATGACCTCGCCAAAGGGTGTCTCGGGAGGTGGGAGGTGGACTTCCACCATTAGAGAGTTGGGGAAGGTTTCCTAGAGGCTAAGCAGCGCCTCACTGACTCTAGGGTTCTTGCGCCTTCACAGCCAGTCTTTGCATCACCGCAGGCAAGCTTTCTCTGTAAAGACTTAGAAGGCAAATGTCTGGAAATCATAGTTCCTGCACCAAACTCCTAAGCTTTACCCTTGTAGCAAATACGCACCCACAGACAGCTTGTAATAATGCATAACTTTCCAATATAAAGTTATCTGCAAAATCAGATGCCAAGCAACATTAAGCTTGTGGGTTATTGTTTGCTGATTAATGTTCTCAAAACTGCTTTATATCAACCATTATCATTGCCCAAATCATTCTATCCAGAGATCCAAAAGGAAGTTGGGCATGATGGCACGGGTCTGGAATTCCAGCACTCTGGAAGCTGAGGCAGGGGATTGCTGTGAGTTTGCAGTCAGCTTAGGTTACATCCCAAGACCACATTTTGGGGCATGGGGTGGGGTGGGAGTGACAGTGAGAGCCTGTGTGTGAGAAAACATTTCTCCTTCTCCTACATCCTTATCAAATGTTTATTGGGACCTACTATGTGTCACACTCTAGTGGGGGCGGGTGAGGGGGGAACTCAACTCCTGTGGGAAGACAGGTGATGGGTGTTGAGGAAATGGAGGATCTGTCTTGTGGAGAGAGTAGAGAAGGGCTGGGTGTGTGAGAAGCCTGGAAGTTTGCAATCTCCACTAGAGGGGTCAGGAATGTTGAAGAGGAACCTTGGAAGAGGCCAAGAGGAAACATTGTGAATATCTTGGATGAAGGCATAGGAGAAGCAGCAGGTGAAAGGTCCCTGGGGTTAAAACCTAAGTAGAAAGCTGAAGGATCAGAAAGAAGGCCAGCCTGTGTCTGGGACAGAATAAGCAAAGAGCTGTAGGAGAATGAGAATAACATGTCTATACCCAACATGATCAGCAAAGACTTTCCTTTTGTTCATGGAACTAATGGATTATTAGAAAGTATATAGGAGACTATATGAAGAAGAAAGCTGCAGTGTCAAAAGATTATAAAATCTAAGAAGATGACTCACATTGGGTACCTGCCAAGGCAAGTATTAAGAGGAATGAATAGAAGCCATCTTGTCTACCATCACAGCAGCCCTGTAGCTCCAGTTTAGTGTTTTTCTTTACCATCAAGAAAAAATGAGATCCAGGAAAACTGAACTCACTGCCTAGAATGCCAGGAGTTGTTGATTTTAAACTCCATAATGAAATATCTCTACCCTGGGGGTGTGAAGCATGACTAGAGGTAACAAGTGCACTTACCTAACAACACTTCAAATCAATGATACCCACTCCTGAAAGAACATACTGGAAGGAATGGGAACTAAAATAGCTTATCAACACCATTCATAAACATCTATTGCATGCACAGTGCCCTAGGCAACAAAGGTAAAAATAGCCCTTGGGCCATGATTTTCCTTTTTAAGAATATCAGTGCTATTGTGGAGGGGTAAAATGGTGCAATAATTTACTGTTTACAGAGACTCTATAGGACAGTAGCAATTTCATGCAGAGCAGATAACATGACTGATCCATGGCACTAAGTCACACAGTACAGAAAAGGTGGGGGGGGGGGAGATTTATGGTAAAGTGCTGGTAGTGCCCTGGAAGGCTTTGTGACCAGTTCACACTTGACAGGTAGCGCTAAAATAGGGAAGGATATGACAGGAGTTCAGTAGACTTGTCTTTTGTCTGTGAAGCTGAAGAGGTTTTGGAAAGTCTAAATGGAAAATAAATATTCCATGTGAACAAGAATGTAGAAGGCATGGTTACAGGAAGAATTTAGAATTTGTGGAACTAGGTAATGCCTATAGTCATAGAGAACCTTGAACTCTTACCCAGGTGAGGTGTGTAGAGTCTATGCTGTGGATATGTGAGAGCTAATGAAAGTTTGTAAACATGCAAAGCCAGATTTTAGATTTGGTCATCTGCTAATAGAATTCAGGAAACTTGCAAATACCAGAAACATGGGGGCAAAAGACAGGGGCCAGAAGTATCAGCTAAAGCCACACACTCAAGTATGCTGCTGGCTCTTTAATTTGTCACATCTTCCTGTCTACAGAACTCAGGGGCACATGAAGGCCATCCTCCCAGCTTCTCCCCGTCATCTTCCAGCCTCCATCAGCCTTTCTCTGGCACCCAAGCAGACAGCAGTCACAGTGCTGGGCTCAACCCTTGTCCCAAAAGCCCAGTTATTCATCCAAAGGTCAGTAGCAGAGAAGCTGACAACAAACCAGCTTCTGTGAGGGTGGGGATTGAAATGGGAGCACAGGGGAGAATAGTGTTGGAGACAGAGATGGGTACATAACAGATTAATGTTTTAAAAAATGGAAAACTGGAGTCCAATGCTGAGTCTCTGTAGAGGATTGAGAGATGGTACTCACAGGCTGGTGATATAGGGAGTTCCCAGAGCAAAGAGAGTGATGGAATAAGACAGGCAAAAGGTGGACAGCCCATAACTGAGCCACACATCTTACATCTGAAAAGGGATAGAAACCCTCACAGGATAGACACCTACAGAAGACCACACCCACAGTGACTGTGTGGAAATGACCCAGTTTGGAATGAATTGGCCTAGGGAATGAATTGCTCTAAAAGTTTTTGTACTGGATTGAGCTCATGTCCCTTTTCTATCATCCAGTAGAAAATGATGCACCCAGTAGGTATGGTGGCACACACCTTTCATCCCAGCACTCAGGAGGCAGAGACAGGTATGTCTCTGTGAGGTTTTAAGGCCAGTATGGTCTACATAGTGAGTTCCAGGATATCAGGATTACGCAGTGAGACCATGTCTAGGAAGAAAGAAAGAAAGAAAGAAAGAAAGAAAGAAAGAAAGAAAGAAAGAAAGGAAAGAAGGAGTGAAGGAAGGAAAGAAGGAAGGAAGGAAGGAAGGAAGGAAGGAAAGAGGAGGGTTTACCCTTCAGGGGAGTAAATAAATGGGTGAGTTCTCTACTAAGATTCCATTAACAATAAATCTACAGTGGCACAAACTGGTGTTAACCTGTTAGTGTTGTTTGCTGTCTCCTCATCTCGGGCTTCCATCATTAGTACTTGGAGTTTCTTTCAATGTAGCCTGTGGTTTCTAGAACACAAGCATTGTTCTAGACCCTTGGATTGAATGTTGTTCTCTGGATTGTATCCACTTGCAGATGACTGGTTTGCAATCTTCAGACAAGGTGGGGCCAAAGTTTTCAATTCCATCCCCAACTTTTTCCAAATCAAGTTCAGTGGTTTCAGAGATAACCCAGCCCCCATCCTATGAAGATGCAGTAAAGCAGGTAACGCCTTTGTTCTATATGATTCAATAATGGACTCAGTGGACAGAACTTTGTAGTATTAAGCATTGTATGTTTGGTGGACTCTGTTACTGAATGAACTGGGTACCTTCCCAATAGAGTGAACAAAGTATATCCATATGACCTTAAGATTGTGTTATATTTGTGTACAGACAGCTGCAAGTTAGGATAGCTCTGTTGACGACTTTTTTACCTTATGGTATTATAAAATGGTGTGCATTTGATGCAAATTGCATTTTGAAGTTGGGCTTCATTGTGAACTGGTAGCATGTGGTACATTGTTCTGGGTGCTGGGCAGCTACGGTGAGCCACACTTCCTAATTAATTAACTGTCTGATCACAAGAGAAACCAGGTGCTCTACAGCATGCTGTATTGCTCAGCTAGGGTATGTGGTGGGCTATGTGTGCACAATGCATTTTGATCTATGATGATATCAATTTTGGGTGTCTTTACCTGGCCATAAACCTGTGGTCACTTGAGGAACATTTGTAGCAGCTGAGTGATTCAGGGAGAGCAGGCTGAGCAGGCATTCACAAAGCCCTGGACTTACAGCTAACTTGTCACCTGCCACTGTCACTGAAGTTGGATACACACTCAACTTCTCTTCAAGGAAATGAAAGTATTTACTCTGTAAGGATTACGGATAATCTAGTGTGTTTTCATACTTGTTTGGTCACATGATAGCCACTCAAGTATGACAGCAATTATTAATACTGTGTTTTCCTAACATCTTAGCTTTAAAACTCAATGTCCTTGAAACAGTGCTGATGGCTGTTGAACCTAAGTAATAGATACAGTGAGATTCACTGACTCTAACACTTACATTTGTGTTTGAAAACACATCAGAATTTAAAAAGTAAGAAAAAAATACGGGTGATTTTATATAGTAAGTCCTGTGTCTGCATCCTAACAGCGTGGCTCAGGGAAATAAGTCCTGAAAGTTCCTACCACCACCCCTTGAACTTGCTGCATACCAGGTGTGATGTTGAACCCATCCAGGTGAAAGGGTTATCTGTCTTGTCATGAGTCAGCCTCTGGCCATTTCACAGATCCTCGCCTCTCCAGCATTTGCATGGGAGTCTCAAGCATCAAGTCTCATGTGCTGTGTTAGGCATGTCACAGTTCCATTTGTATTGAGCATACACCCCTTCTTGTCACTGGCCCCAAAGCCACACAGGACATAGCTATTTTCACAGTATTCACACGGTATTAGGTAGCAAGCTCCAGAGATGGCTTGCAAGACAAAGAGACAGGTGTATGTTCTGTTGAACTACCAAATCATTTTATAGAATAGACTTGAGCACCCAAAGATTTTGGAAACCAAGGGTGAGTGCTCCTGGAAATTGGCCCCCACCGATACTGAAGGATGAGTAGTTCAAGTAGCTTGAGTTTATATATGACCTCGAATAACCACATCTAGGTACTAAACCCAGAACAGAGCATCTATGTCAAATGCTGCCTGATATCTGGTCTCCTGAAGTCAAAAGCAAGGCAGTAAAAGGTTTCCTTTTGCCATCAAAAGATGTCATGCAGTAGGCTTTCTCATTTCTGAAAACCTCAGGAGAAGTAAGGCTGTGCTTAACCACTCAGATGAGCAGAGGCAAGGGTAGAGACACAGATTGTTCAAGAGGAACCAAGAAAATTGAAGCTGACTTCCTGGGCCATATCCATAGAAGACAAACAGAGGTATAAACAAGTAGCTTCCAAAGCGAGAAAAGGAAATAAGCTGCATATTAAGATGCCCGCTTCTGGGATGGAAACTTCCTCGTGAGGCTAGGATCACTTTCCCATCTTCCTCATTCTTGTTTGTTGTGTTGAATTATCTGTGTAGGATTTACACTAAAATTTTTGATCAAATGTGGACTAAAGCCCCTTTGCAGGTCTAGCTAAGCTTTTAACAATATCATTCACTTCAGCCAAAAGTAGAAATAGCCCAAGTGCCCTTCAGCCTGCAAATGGAAACCAAAATGTGGTAGAGTCACACCACAGAGTGCCATTCAGTCCAAGACCAAAAGTAATCAAATTCATAGGAGCAGGAAGAATTGTGACTAGTGATGTTGCAAAAGACTAATGGAAGGTTTGTTTGATGTGTGTAGACTTTTAGTTTTGCAGATTAAAAGAGTTCTGTGGGTGCATAATGTTGATGATGGCATTTAAAAAGTGAATGTACGCTTAAAATGACTGAGCTTACAAGTTTTGTTATGTTCTATTTTACTATGCTTTTTTAAATCCTTAAGCAAGCCTAGTCCAAAGTCCTACAGTGACTTCTTCTACTGTCTCCATACCATTGTAACCACCATCTAATATCTCTGCTCTCTTTTTGGCTAATTTGAAATAGCAAATGACTCGGAGTCAGCAGATGGATGAACTCCTGGATGTCCTCATTGAAAGTGGAGGTAAGATTGCCTTGCTCGCTATCCATCGGGACCCTCCACATCTGTACATACTATAGGACATGACCTCTGATGACCAAGGTCAGGGATACACTGAGTTAGGTACACCAGGTGGTCTGCTGGTAGCGTGACTTCCTCTCAGCTTCAGGGGTGTTTTGTTAGCAGTGAAGAGAACCACAGTGGATGATTTCTCACCACCTTTATCCTGGAGATTCTTTGCATGTCACCTTTCAACCCATCCCTGTCTCTGTAAGTGTGGTATGTTATTAGATCATTTTTTTCTACAATTCTAATCCCTGTCTTCTTAATTTACGAAACGAAAAGAAAAAAACATGAGAGTAGTGAAAGTTCTGTGCTCACTACTCAAACTGAGATTCAACCAGCCATTCCCACTGAGTGCCCCACCCATTCATTCATTTATTTAAGAAATATCAATAAGTGTGTGCCTAGCATTTGAAAACACACAAAGGCATCAGGGGTCTGATGGAACATTGTGAAGGTCAAACAGGAACATGGGGCTGAACTCTTAATGAACAACACTTGAAGTTTAACAGGAGGCAGTCAATGACTCAGAGATGGAGTGCCAGGCATCACGTTAAGCTCAGTTCTCCACCAGATAATTCTGTGGACTGCACTCTGATAAGAAAGACAGATAGTGTGCACAGGAACCGGTGTTTCTTATCTTAATCAGGAGGATGAGAGAGATCAGGTTGGGTATACGTGTGTATTTAAACTTTGTGATGGAAGATGACTATGCATACCAGGTACTCCTTCTTTTTACTGAAGTATGTGGCAAGGAGGCAGAGTAGTGAGAACACAAAAGGGAATGTGGGAGAGTCTAGGAAGGGATAGCCATGAGTTAGTGATGAGTTGAGTTTTATAGAGAAACACAAGATTATAAGGTAGAATTAAATGCTTGATGCCATCCATCACCTGAAAGTAAGTCCAGCCCGTTGAATTGTTGTTCTCATTCTCTATCCAGGCAACTTGGAGCAGGCTAAGAGAAAGTGACAGAGAGTTTTGCTAAGCTGGGAGAGAAGGAAAGAAAAGTAGGAACAACTGTAACAATGGCTCAGAGAATATGATCCAAACAGGGAAAGAAGTGATGAGGGAGGCACTGGCATGCAATGGTCAAGAGTACAGCCAGTAGATTAGGTACCTAAGAGTGTCTTGGAAATAATTGACCCAGAACACTTCATACACTAGTGAGAGATGGTGAAGGAGAAGAAGGACAGCGAGTGAGAAATCCTGCTTAAGATAGAGTTCTTGGAAGGATGTTCTATGCAAGGACAGGTCTTAAGGTATCCAACAGAGAGTGGATGCTGTCATCACTGGAGTGGGTGGGAAGGACAGGGAACTGAGAGGCCAGCATGAGCAGTGTGTGATTTCTAAGGATACTATTGTCTTTAAAATAAGAAACACTGACCTGGCAAAATGATTATGAACTAGGGGATAGTTTCCAAAAGATGAGAAGGTGTGATTAGCAGACCTAAACTAGGGAAATGGGCTTCCCTAAAAACTACTGAGGCATGGTAAGAAGGCATGGCCATCAACATAAAAATAGTTGTGGATGGCACTCATCCCTCATTTGCTGTCCAATAGAGAGTATGACAGGAATATAATGTCCTCCAATGACAGCTAGTGGTCGTGAAGGGAGTGAAGAAGCCAGCAGAGAAGTGTTTGACCATAACAGAATGGAAGTTCCAAAGCAGAGGTATTTTGGGAAACCTTAAGAAAGTAGAAATGGATAGGCAGCATAGGTAGGGGGAGCACAGGGTTAAGTACTGAGCAGGAAAGCATGGTCAGCTTCTGTGATTTCCATAGAGCAACTCATTTATTCCAAAGGCTCATCATGTGGCATGGCCAGTTTGAGGTAACTTAACAACTGGAATTGTGTTTTACCAACAGAAATGCCTGCTGATGCCAGGGAAGATCATTCATGTCTTCAAAAAGTCCCAAAGATACCTGGGTCCTCTTGCAGCCCTACCACCATTCTCCCCAAGCCCTCAGCTTCCTTTGAACAGGCATCTTCAGGGGGTCAGATCTCCTTTGATCACTATGCCACCGATAGTGATGAACACCTAGAAGTCTTATTGAATTCTCACAGCCCCATGGGAAAAGTGGGTGATGTCACTCTCCTCAAAATTGGAAATGAGGAGACTCCTTTTGATGGAATCATGGATGGCTTCCCAGGGAAGGCTGCTGAAGACCTCTTCAGCACTCATGAGCTCTTGCCTGGACCCCTCTCCCCGATGCCTACACAGTTATCACCCTCATCAGTGGACAGCAGTGGTCTACAGCTGAGCTTCACAGAATCTCCTTGGGAAACAATGGAATGGCTGGACCTTACTCCACCTAGCTCCACGCCAGGCTTCAGCAATCTCCCCACCAGTGGCCCCAGCATATTCAACATCGATTTTCTGGATGTCACAGATCTGAATTTGAATTCCCCCATGGACCTCCACTTACAGCAGTGGTAAACACCTGAGTCACAAAAAGCTTGATAGGAATTCCATGGGGAAGGCACACAGTCAGAAATACTTGTGTGATCCTAAAGATGAATCAAAACAAAATGGAGAAGAAAAGTATCCCAGCAATGGAGGTTTCTGTGACAATTAATCAGAAGAAACAGGAGTCTATCATTAAGATATGTATAATGTAATTACTATGAGAACTCAGTAACTGTTAACTTCAGTGATGCACTCAGAACTGTGCTTTCTCAGATTAAGAATGCCAAAAATGTCTTTCACTGCCTTTTCTCATATCAGTATTTTTCTAGCCCACAGTTTGTCTCAGGTGTTACTGGGACATAAGTTCACACTACAGTTTGTCTCCCGAATTATTGGGGCATAAGCTCACACTGTTAGCTTTTGTTATGAATTTACTAAATGTTCTGTGGAAGGAAAACAAAGCCTCCGGGGAGGGCAGGGAAGCCAGTCCCTCAGAGGTTCTGGAAGCCATGCCATGGTGGAAGCAACTTCCCAGGTGTCCATTATCTATCAGAAGAGCAGGTCCTGCTTCAGCCCATAGAATTCTTAATGTAAAAGAGAGGGCCAAAACCAATCCATTCCGAGAAAAGCAAAAGCAACTCAGTGTTCCTAACCCCCAAATTGTCCCACTGGGCTGTGATCACTGACAACAGCTAACTGGCATTGTCCAGTGAATCCATCCACAACATATTGCTTTTTAACCAGTAGCCCAGTTGTTTCTGCCGTGTGTATTTTAGTCAATGATATAGAGAAAGTGAGAAACTTGTATCAAAAAACAAAAACAAAAACAAAACACATCATGCCATGGTCAGAGACTCCCGAGGCTCTCATATGTAACTACCTCTAGTTCCAAAGACTAGAAGTAAAACTATCAGAAAGGTAACTGGAGGCCCAGGAAGTCATACTAGGGCAATTTAAAATTAGAAAATAGTGCCATTTAACATTCCGGGAAAGAAATACCATGAATT